GGGGGGGGGGGGGGGGGGGGGGGGGGGGGGGGGGGGGGGGGGGGTGGGGGGGTGTTATTGGGGCAACGGACGATTCCGATGAAACGGCGGCCGACAGCCGAGAACAGCTGTGCGCGATCGCACTCCCTTCCAGTGCTACCAGTGCTACTGGTAGGGGGTGCGATCACGGTGAGCTCTTGTCGGATTTCGGCCACAGTTTTTTCGGAATCGTTCGCTCTCCCAATAACACCCCCACGCCACCCGGGTACAAGCAACTCGCGGTCAGGAATATCCACGAATTGGGCTTGATGTGATATGCATCAGCTTCTTGGACGGCCTTTTGATATTCCGTCAGTCCGTCAACCTGGGGCGGGTTTGCATTTGGTGCGCCGTTACTTTTCGAGTTTTTTGGCGTTCAGCTTTCGTCCACGGTTCTCATGATTAAGTCAGGGATTTTGAACGACAGTAGCAACAATCGCTGCCGCAACGACGCACCTGCTCCTCCAACTCGAAGTCCGCGTTGTAGCTCTCTACCGCCCGAATGGCCATCGACAGCGGGGCAACGGCGGCGGCGGCGTCGGTCTGTCGTCCCCTTCGACACGCGCCTGATCTCCGCTCTGCCGTGGCTTGCGGCGCGGAAGATAACCTGGCGCCTGGTCGGTGGTGCGTGTGTGTTTTCCGCAGCGTGCAGCCGGGGGAGGGAAACACACCAACACATTGGGTAACAATGTTAGCGGTGCTTGCGCGTGCGGCACAGGAGAATATTTATTGTCGTCACACCATCCGATCTCTTGTTCAGTGTCCCCAAACTTATGTACCCTTCGCCCCAGTTGAGCGGCTCATAATGTGGATGATAGCCTAACTGATCGGACGCCTTCCCTTCGCACAGGCTAACTATAGGGCACAATTTTCTGGAACACGAAGATATAATCATGTACTACAAGGCCCTATGCATAGAGAAATCAACACCAACGGATCTCTCTTGTATGTATGCATACGGCAGGTGTTCAGGTGAGGGTTCACTGTTGTCATTATGCCGACCACGCGGGAGGCTTGAGAAAGCGATCTGTCCGCGACACACAACACTAGTAAGCTTGACACACCAAATGAGTGTGGGTGTGCGTGAGCGAGCTGGCAGATATATAAGTACAACGAGTGCCTCTCTTCGCTTTCGACAGCGATAACACGCGTACACTTGCTGTAAAGGAATCCCTCAAGACCCTCAAATTCAGCTACTGCTGCCTGCGGTAAGCCGCCGCATAGACATCTGCATGGCTGGCTACCGGGAGCCAGGGAGATAGGGAGATAGGGAGGGGGCGGGACTGCATCATTGCTCGGCTCCTGCCGCTACCGCCGTGGCGGCACGGTGTATCACTGCTGTAAAACAACAATGTACTTACTAAAATATGCATAAATATCGACAGCAGACGGTGCAGCGGCGGAGTGTTGCAACCTGGGGAGAGCCTGCATGCGGAAATGAAGCATCCGCTGTACTTTCTGCTGTGGACCGCTCTACAATTCAAGGCCAGGGCCGGTTCTGTACATCACGCAGAGCAGCTTACAAGCGCGTTGTTGCAAATGTCTTATGTTGCCGAGGGCCATAGTCCACATGTCTATGTGTAGTCATGGATGTGCCTGCCTCTAAACTTGAAGCGCGTCCTCAGGGATGGGCGGACAGGTGGCTACAGCAGTACAAGGCGTTCAGGACCGGAAGACGGGTGATTCTATCATGTGGTACATGAAAGAAAGGAGCACGGTTCCTTCATCGTACCGTGTAACAGCGGCCAACCTTCCGTACTCCATGCACCACGCCCTCATGAACATGCGCACGGCACCCACCCCACAAAGCAACGCCATATGTACAGCGCGCCCTTTCATGGTTGCACTGCTTCATGTCATGTGGCGGGGTGAATCGACCCACCTCCCATTGGCACGAAGGCTGTCGTGGAAGACGCGATTGCCGTGGCTGCGAGAACGTACGCTGCTGATCGCGCCATGGCTCCTGCTCGGCTTCTGGCTTGCTGGATCCGTGCGCGTGATGTTTGTGTGCTGTGATGTTGTGCTTCTCTCCGTACTTCTGTGGTGCCCTGTCTGCTCCAACCCCGAAAATCGAAAATGCGCACATTTTTCTCTAGAAAACATCCGATAAAAGTGTTGAACTCCAAAATCGGGGATCGGGGAAGCAGACCAAAAAAAAAATAACAGGCGGCACAAACTGGCAGTCCGCGACCGTCGGCAGTACGCCTACCACGGATCCACGGGTAGCTGGGCCGCGATGATGACCACGGATGACAAAACGAAGTACGGGGGGAATGGACGGTATGCGCGGGGTGGAAGGTATTTGATCCTGACCGCACGTATTGCATACGTCTTGAAAAATAAAGATCTCGGGGTAGCTGTACTTCGGATGTCGGATACTCTGGCCACACATCCTCTGGGTGACGCCCAACCCAATTTCGGTTCTCTTTTGCGCCTGATAATGAGGAGGGTTTGTCGATGTAGCGTACAGTGCGCCGACAAACGACACACATTCCATGCCAATCGATCGCCACAGAGAAGAACGAGAGAAATCTCCCCATCAACCAATCAAAGGGAGGGAGAGAAGGTGTTTTTCTTTCGTTTTCCCCCTCCTTTCGTACGACGGGTGAATCTGTTCGTCTCTCGGACATGTGGAACCCGCGCACGTTCTACCCGCGTGCGACTGGTCGTGCTCGATGTCTCAATGAACGTCTCGATCCATGCAGACTACGGGCGGCCAGATGTCGCAATCTTCGCGCGCGACTTCAACCAACCTCCGCAGGCATTTACTCATCGCCCAAAACATGGCATGAACGAGTGCTAGCGAACAACGGCGAAGCAGTCAAAAGCGAAAGCCCCTTGCGTCGTAGTCCATGCGTGCTGTAAAATGTACGTGTATAGGCAAAAGACGTGGCAAGAAGACCAGGAGGAACATCAAGTACGAAGAAGGGCGAAAAAGCCTCTTCATTCCCGTAAATATAAGCTTTCTTTGTTGAGCGGCGGTCGAGGCTCTCACGTGCTCACCAATGCTCTCACTTGAATGTATTTCTCTTTCTTTGTTTGCCTTCCCATCCATTCCGTCTGGGTGCCAGTCTACACACCACCGCTCTTTCGGTGGATATGTTCAACGCACCACTCTGATCTGCACAACAGAAAGAACTCTCTTGCTTCTCCTCCTGCGGCGCGTACAGTACCTCCAAACTTGGACTTGACTCCTGATGTTCCACGTTTAAACTACTCACCACGCGAAAGTAGAACGAAAACAGAACGAAAACAAAGTGCTGCTGCAAAGAATGTCCCCACTCCGCATGAACTGCCACGACACAGTAACAGACAACCTCTCTTCGCACCATCTTCCAATCAATCCTCTCGGTTGTCTCGAACGTAAGCGGGCGCCTTGAAAGGCGCTCCCAGAAACAAAGCAGCCGTCCAAACACACTCATTTTCCCGAAAATGTACAGAATGCCCGTTCAACTCGTGACGAGTCCCTCGTGTGCGTCGGCGGCAAGCGCAAAAAGAAAAAAGAAAATGAATACAACGTGCGGCGTTTACCTGATCGCTTCCCCCAGCAAGACAAGCGACAATGACAGCGGTAAAGACCCCCGTGCGAACGTGCTATTGGCACAACAAATTAATCTATGGGTATCAAGCGGCCAACCTCTTTAACACCCCTCCTCCCACAAGCCTAATTTATCAAAACGCCTCCTACTGCTGTCAAAAGCTCAAGGCCGATGATAGCACACGCACGCGTAGACCCTACATAGTCGCCTTGCTGGTTTCGGGCAACACACTACCCCAACAACAGCGAAGCACGATTTACACGCGGTCACCGCTCCTAAATGAACCCAACAGTTGAGAAGAAAATTATTGGCTCACGCAACGCACGCCGAACGCTCGGTTCGCCCCCCCCCCCCCCCCCCCCCCCC